AGATTCCCCCCCCCCAACCCATGCTGGGAAAAGTGTCTCATGGCAAAGTGGCCTCAAAGCCAAACCAAACACTGAGTGTTCCCAGGCTCTGCAGAGGGCTGGCACCGAGGGGCCCAGTCTACTCTAAGCTGACCGGGCCTCTTGAGTGGGGAGGGGCCTTCTGCCCGAGGGGAAGGCAGAAGCCCTGTTCCAGACTGTCCTATGTTCCTGCTTGCTGTGTGACTATGGGCAAGTCCTGTCCTCCAGGCCTCAGTTTCTCTACGTGTACAATGAAAGAACAGGAATGACCCATGGACTTGAAAATGTTTTCTAGCAGCAGAAGCCAGAAGTGAGATCTTAGGCAGAAGCCCAAAGTATAAAGCACAGAAAAGCAGGGCTGGTGCTTGAGACAGTGTCAGCCGTCTATCCCCTGAGGCCCCTCCATAGGGTTTCCTGGAGCAGGTGGCCAATCTTGGTACCAGAGGGTCTCCAAGAGCCATCCAGGGCTGGGTTCTGGGAGTCTCGAGGCTTTGGCTTTTTTGCTAACATAAGGGGCTGCTGGGCTGTGCCTTAGGTGGCTTCTGAGTGGGCTCTGAGGAGACAAGGGGGAGATGGAGCTTGGGACACAGGGCCTGGGTGCTGGGTGGCCCTGCTGCCTGGGGGTATAGTTCTCAGTGTGATCCTGCTGAGGAGACCTCACTGTGGTTCCAGCCTGGGCCTCAGCCTCTCTGGACCAAGCAAGCCAGACGCAGGCAAAGATCTAAAGTGACTATAAAACTCTAGAAGAAAACATAGGCAGGAAACTCTGACATTTCTCTTAGTAATATTTTTTTCTGATATATCTCCTCAGGCAAGGAAAACAAAAGAAAGAACGAACAAATGGGACTATATCGAACTAAAAAGGTTTTGCACAGCAAAGGAAACCATCAACAAAACGAAAAGACGACACACTGAACGGGAGAACATATTTGCCAGTGATACATCTGATAAGGGGTTAATATCCAAAATTTGTAAAGAACTCATACAACTCAACATCAAAAATCCCAAACAATCCAATTAAAAAATGGGCAAAGGACTGAACAAAGACTTTTCCGAAGAGGATATACAGATGGCCATATGAAAAGATGCTCAATGT